GCTGCTAGAAGTTGGGGGTTTTGGCACCTCAGGTTCATAGGTAAGTAGTATGTATTCTTTCCTCTAGTGTGTCTTGTTTCCTGCTTTGAAATGTTAATGAAAATTGAGACGAGTCTCACCTGAAGAGAATTGTGTGAACAGCAGATCTGCAACCAGAGCAAAATATTTTTGTTTTGGGCCTCTCTTCTGAGTGCTTCTTTGTGTAGAATATTTCTGTTTAGAGAGCTGATTTTTGAGTGCCTCGGTAATGGCTCATCTATTTTGCTGAATTTCCATCTTGGGCTCAGGAAGGCAGGTATGTAATCATCATCCTTATTGACAGGTCATAGAGTACCCTCTTGATGCCTGGTGCTGTACAGGATACTTTGAAATAGCTGTCAGAAGGTGATCCCAAAACAGAATTCCTCCTGTTCCCAGTTTCAGCTCGGGCAGTGGTTCTCATGTTTGTGAGCAGTCAGAGCGCCAGGAAGTCATGATGCCCTCGATAAATCAATTTTGTTATATGATGTAGCAGAAGCTTATTTAAGAGTTCTGCTCAGAAAACTCATGTTAAGTTTACATGCAATCATTATATCAGGATTGTGTTTTAATTACATGTATCAATGACCTGACTAGTGACTTAAATGAGGGCTTTATGTATAAGAGTACGTTGTTTATTTCTTATAACAGTACGTCTGTAGGGATGCATTCTTGCTCCTACCTTTCTAGTCTATCATCTTTAGCTTGTAGCTTTCCTCTCTGTGCATGTAAGAAGCTGCTTCAACCTAGGGCACAGGTTTACTCTCCAGGCAGGAAAAAGAATGGAAGAACGAAGGAGGAAGGGACAGTGCTTATTTGCGAACTATGGCACAGAGTGAGGGAGTCTGGGAAATACAGATTATTTAGCTGAGTACCGTCTTTCCCCTGGACAAAACTGGAGTTCTCTTATTAAGTAAGAAGGGGAGAATAGACTCAAAGTAGGCCTATCACAAAGTGACTGTCACAATAATCACTGATTATTGTGATAGTCAGTGATCAGCACTGGCTGATTTAAAATGATACAAAACAATTTAAAATGATACATTCATGGGATTGTGATATTCCTGATGATGTGTTCTCGTAAAACACTGTTGGAATTTTTCTATTAACATTCTTTTTTTTTTTTCTAAAGATTTTATTTATTTATCTTTAGAGGGGAAGGGAAGGAGAGAGGGAGAGAAACATCAATATATGGTTGCCTTTCATGCATCCCCTGCTGGGAACTGGCCTGCAGGGAACCGGCTTGCAACCGGGTATGTGCCCTGACTGGGAATCGAACCGCGATTGTCTGGTTCGCAGGCCCGCACTCAATCCACTGAGCTACACCAGCCAGGGCTCTAGTAACATTCTTTACTTACTTGTTGAACATTAGTTTTTGTTGATAGCTAGCAATCTCAGATATTGACAGTTTAGAAATATAAGTGAAGAAAACTCTTAAATAAATGAGAAAATTTTCTCTATTGCCTTTTTTCTGGCAAATAAGGAAATGAAATTTTTATTTTTTAAATGAAGGCCCACTCCAGTGTATGACACATTGGTTTCCCTAGACCATTAGTCTTCCTAATGTCAGTGGTGAACCACTGATGCTAATATTGACGTGTGATGTTAAATGACGTGTATCTCCTTTACTAATGCTGTTTTCCTAGACAAGAGCACCCTAACTTTTTTCCCTTTTGATATGACTCATGTTAAGGGCAATTAAAATATCCTTTATTTTTAAATGCCTTTTCTAAATTCTTTATAATGATCCTACATTCGTTTTATAATCAGAAAAAAGATCTCACTCGTTTTTTGAGTTTAGTACAAGTCTTGCCTCCTCTGACCTTGTACCCTCTGCTTCAAATGTGTTTCTTACTTCCTACTTCTTGAAACTTCAAGAGCAGGCGCAGCCTGTGCAACACAATTCTTCCCTCGATTCCAGGCGCAGTATATTGACTTCATCACCAGTTGCTGATGATCATAAGTGCCCTCTTACGTCTATTTTCTGTTTTCCCAAATTCTTAGCATAGGATTAGATACATAGCAGACACTTAATTGCTTCTGATCCAAATACATAATCACATTTAACACATTAAAACAGGAAAATAACATGGACTCGATAGCAAGGTAGGCATAAAGTGAACCATGACTAATAATCAGGTAATCAGAGTTCCGTGACTTTCACCCTTTCCTGTTGACGTAGGGCCCCTAGCTCCTCTAGAATGTTCCCCCCTAGGGTTTGTTTATTCTAGGGCTCACCAAAGGGTGTTTTATGTGGGCTCACTAATGTGTTCTGGCCACTGCCACGCGGCATGTGCTTTTTTTCTGTGAGGTTCACTGTCCCCGCAAGTTGCGTGGTGGTGCCTCACTCCAGATTTCGGGGGTATGTACCTGACACTGTTACCTTCTTGTCCTGCCTGGGGTGCTCCTGATACGCTAGGGCCGTTGAGGTGTTCCAGCCCTTCTTCTCTCCTCTTGTCACGTCGGCATCAAAGCAGAACTCTGTATCTCTGTTGCTTCCGAGCTTTTAGTGAAAGCCATTCTTTAGTCTTAGTCTCATTGTGGCCCCTCTGTCTGTCACCGTGGGCCTTTGCGGCTGGGCTGTGGGAGCAGTTCAAGTGATAGACACCACCCTGTGTTTCGGACACCCCTCCTGTCCAAGGCTTTGCTCATTGGGCCAAACTTTTCTGCCTCACTTAGAAAGGACAGGTAGCCCTCATGCAGACAGATACCTGAACAACTCTAGTTCTGCTGGCATTCGTGAGTCTTAGTGGCAGGAATGGTTTAGGTTCTAGACTGAATCCTGTTGCGTTTTTAAAATAGAGCCAGTGAACCATGTTACAGCTCAAAGACTCTCAAGCCAAGACAGTGAGTCGTAACTCAGCGTGACCTTGACCCACAGACAAAATGAAAACTTTACTTATTCTTATGTTATATATCTGATTGTATTGGAACCCGGTGAGAACTTTAAGGCTACAAAAAAAAAGGAAAAGGAGAAATACACTACATTTTATTTATGAAATTGTTTAATTATCTTTATTCCCTGAAATTGGTTAAGCTTGTGTTTCAGCAAAGATGCAATAGATTCTTATCCTCTTTTCCAGAGCAGTTTGGTATTAACATTTAGTTATTTTCCTTGGGTTTCAGTATGTACACTAGATAGTAATTGGAGTTAGACCTTGTGCAAATCCCCAGTAGGACTGTAGGTAGGAAGGAAAAAAGCAAACCCCACTTAGTATGGAGTCTCAAGAGCTAATGCAAGTGGTCAAAGGGGAAGGGGAGGAATGAGCAAAAACTGGGATATGGGGAGAGACAGGAACATGAAACCGCCATAGCCCAAGTAAATGGAATGAAAAGCTGGCCATCTGTGTGCCTGGAATAGTTTGTGAAACAGTGAGAACATCAAAACAGCTGTATTCATGTCCCATGATGTTTTCCCTCATGTCTTTAAATTTTTTTTTACATATATGTTTGAACTTTAGAGTAGTCTAATTTTGTGTAAGTAAAAAAAATTTTTTGGTAACCTGTATCTGCATAGACGTATGCTTGCCCTTGGTTCAGAGTGGCTGCTCAGATAAGTGCCATCGACTGTCAGCGCCTTGGGTATTTAGGTCCTTGACTGCCAGCATCTTGGAGGGTCAGCTAGGACCCAAGACACCATTGTAGAGCAGTAGAGCAAATGGGGCAGAGAGAGGCAATGAAATGCCACCAGGACAGACGTCACTCAGGTGTAGAACTTCCTTGACTCAGTCTGCCAAGTCCTGCTTTGACATCTAGAAGTTGCAGACCATCCGGGATGAGGGATCGCTGGACAGTTGTTCCCTGAGACCTGCTTGTGGGGACCTCGTCTTGATCTAAAGCTGCGAGGAAACCTTGTGCTCTTTCTTCCCAGGCTCAGCTATTGAGTGTCAGTCACAGGCTGCTCTGCTCCTGGACCCCCGTGTTCCCCGCTGTGCTGGGATGAGTGTGTTGAACAATCATTTGTTTATTGTTTGCTTAAAAGAATTTAGTGGCCCTCCCTCCCCGTATGGAAAACGTGAACATTGCTTTGTAGTGATTTTTACCCACTTCCAGCCTGGCAGCTTTGCTTAGCACAACCTTGAAGCAATTTCTCAGGTGTTCTGGAAAGCTTAATATAATGCGTTCAGAGCAAGACTGATAGTCTTGTAGCAGGAGCAAGATGACCACCGAATGGCTTGTATTGGCTGTGCTTCCTGTGGTGGAATGAAATTAAACCGGTCATTTAAACACTTCAAGTCTAACAAGATTTTGAATTGCTTTAATTTTGTACATGTAAATGCTCCATATATATATATTCTAAAATTCAAGTTCTTTTGTGATTAAAATGGTTTGTCTAGAGAGAATAATGATTATCCTAAATTTATTCTGGATACCAAAAGAATTATGATTCCTTTTTCTTTTTTATCTTGTTTTGACTTCTGAAATGATGAATGAAAGTACTTAAAATCTTTTATCATGTAATATTTCACACATACAAAATAATACTCCTAAACAAAACATTGTTTAATTTCTCATGGTTTTGAGCTTCATCTAAATGGCGTTGTTCTGGATGTGACTTGCCTTTTTCTTTCTTTTTAGTTTTTTCATCAGGACCTGATTAACATCACATTATATTAGTTTTCTGTGTACAACATAATGACTCCATATTTGTATACCTTGTGTGGTTATTTGTTGTCCTTAAAGTAGCAATCACTGGACAAATAATCTAAAATATTAAAACAATACTAAGAAGATTATTTTAAGATCTGGGGATGCCAAAATAGATTGGATTACTTTTAGGCATATTATGATGCCAGATTCTCACCGGGGAATTGGACGTTTTGTGTCCTATACAACTTGCTTTTTGTATGTTTTCTTCTTATTATTATACTTATGAATGAGACGCTCTACAGATCTTAAGCATTTTTTCATTTATTTACATATGTGTATTTGGGTACAAAAAGACAACTAACTACATGAGACAAGTTTCTCCTCTCTTACAGAGTTAAGTGTGAGGGAGTCCGATGCAAGAGTTTGCGACGAATCGTCATGTAAATACGGAGGCGTCTGCAGGGAAGATGGAGATGGTTTGAAATGTGTGTGTCAGTTCCAGGTGAGAAAACTCAACCTGTTATGAAATATTTTACATTCCTCGTATTTTAGCATTCTACTGTCTTCAAATTACAGAGCTTAAAACACCTTGAACCCCACGAGGAAGTAGGGGTCACAGCCCACAGATGCTTTTCGATCGGGTGAAGTGCTGTTATTTGTACCTCCCACGCCCCTTTCCTTGAACTAAGAGGACAGACTGGCAATAATAGATATAAACATGCATTGAAAACAAATTCGTTCTATTTAAATGTAAGGTATAATTGTCACCCAAGGGAAATAAGGTGCAGGTTGCAGTTGAGTCTCATTTAAAATGTTGACATTTTCCCCCTTTGCTTTCCTGTCTAGTCTGTCTCTTCCCTTTCTCTTCTTACTTGCTGCTTTGCTGTCTCATCTTTTCAGTCTAAAGAACATCACTGACTTGGAGCCTCAGCGTAGGTCAGGGCTAGAGCTGGACTAGAAAGGGTAACCTCAAACGAAGATCTTTGCTTTTCAAGTACTGTGGGAGTTGTGATTTCACTGTGTATAAAGAAGGGCCGTAAAGCGTGTTACACTCGGTGTTTTTATTTATTTTTCCTGTGATTGACTTGCAGTCTGGTTTTAGGATGTTGCTCCCAAGATGGTCCCTGATTCAGGATTTCAGATGAGAGCAAGAAGGAACTAGAATTTTTTTTGCCACTCGTGATCTTGCTCTAATCATACCCATCATTTCAGATATTGAGGGGAGGAAAGGGTGCGGCCATCAGGGATGAAAGCAGGGGAAAGTCAGTGTTTGCAGAAACTGTCACCTCAGGCAGGTTTCCGTGCGCTCCATCTGAAAGGAGAGGGCCAGTTTCCTCTTAGGATGTCGTGATGAGAGTCAAAATCAGAAAGAGAGCTTGTATATAAAACCTCTCTGAAAACTATAAACTATCATCATGTAGTTTATTTTCATTAAAAGAAACAGAGAGTGGGTATATGCTGATTATCCAGTCAGAGAGGTTCTTCGTGGTCAAAAGAGACTTAATAATCTGCATTTATTCACAACAGGTATTTTTCACAGGGCTTAGCTCGTCTTGGGCTCACCTCTCCACGGTTATTCATGCAATAATCTGGCCAGTGTGCTGTGTGTCTGGCTGTCCTGCCTCCTCCCCCAAACCCTCCTAAAATGGGCTTCATTCCTTAAGAGAAGGTATCGGTGTTCACAGTGTATATCCTAAGCTCTGGCGAACTTCTGCTTCCTTCAGTTCTTTTGCATTAGACAATTTTTATTGACCTACCTCCAGTTTCACAAAATCCTTTTTTCTGTCATATTCGTTCTTTTCATTCTGTGAGCTTTTAATTTCAGACGTTTTATTCCTAAAATGTAGTTTCTATGAAAGTACTTTTAGTAGTTAAAATATTTAATATTTAAAATAGTTTCTATTCATCTGTTGAGATTTTCTGTCTTTTCATTCATTGCAGACGTAATTTGTGTGTTACAAATATTATTGTTGCTTTAAAATCTTTGCTAATTTTAACATCCGAGGCATCTCAGAAATCACCTTTGTGGATGGTCTTTTCATTCTAGAATGGACCGTGCTGTTCTATTTGTTTTCAGTATTAGAGTAACTTTGTGTTTATCCTATACACTGTGAATGATGTGTTCTAGAGCTTTGAATTCTTTTCTGTTGCTCTGAGGACTATTGTTATTTTTGAAACAGTTGACTTGAACTCAAGGCAAACTCTGTTTTCCCTAATAGGGCAACAACACAAAAATGTTCACTTTTTTAAGCCTTAGCTAGGCTACTTGGAATATGCCTCATGGATAAATGGTTCAGAAGAAGCCAACCAGAGTTTGCACACAGAAGTTTTGACTCTCCTCTGATTCTCTTTTTGGGGGTTTTCTTGCTCACTTTCCAGTGGGCCTGGTCACCCTAAACTCTGTCCTCTGGTTCTGCAACCCAGAAAGACTGGAGGAATTTTTTTATTAGTGTGTCAGGCGCCTTGCACCAGGACGAGTGGAACCGTTCCCCTCTTCCACCTGTCTTACAGTTTCCTGAGACTGAATCATTCGATGTGGAATCGTTGGGTCAGTAGGATGCTCCTGTGCAGACGAACACTCTCACCAATAGACCTACATTAGACTGCTTATTTCTCCTCAGCTCGTGGGTAGTCGGCTTTGAAATCCTTTTAAAGTTTATAAATCTTAAAGGCAAAAAACATTTTAAATCTGTGCTTGATTAGCAGGGATATTAAAAAGGTTCCATATATTTATTTTGTGAATCTCTCTCATTCTTTGCCTATTTTTGGTGGTACTTCTCCCTCCTGGTGATTTGTAAGGGTGTGGGTAAGCACACGAGATACAGCGTATTATTTAAGTACTTGTGTATTGTTTACTGTGCTGAGCGGTTTCTATTCATTACCTGTCTAAACATTTTATACATAGTATATATGGAAGTTTCTATGGAAGAAACTCTGATGAGACTCTGATGTAGGTAATTTAAAGAGTAATATATGCTCATGGTAAACAACTAGAACAATATATAAAAATATAATGAAACATGTCTTCCTTCCTTCTAGACTACCACTTGTTCTTCTCGGAGGCAACATTGGTTACTATTTCCTTCTAGAAATACGCTCTGTCTAATACATATATGTATTTAATTTCTCCTCAAAGTACTAGATCACTTAATAGTATCTACCCAAGAGATAGTTCCTTTTCAGTTTATATGGATTACAGAAAGAGACATCTGTATTTTAAAGAAGTTATCTTAGTGTGATTTTCATTAAATTTTTTCTTTTTATTGATTCTAAAGAGAGAGGGAAAGGGAGGGAAAAAAGAAAGGGAGAGAGACATCCATGTGAGAGGGAAACATCAATTGGTTGCCTCTTGCATGTGCCCCAATTGGGGACCTAACCCGCAACCCAGGCACGTGCCCTGACTGGGAGTTGAACCGGCAACCTTTTGCTTTGCAGGGCTCATTTTCACTTTTTGATACAGTTTTAAATGTAACATCATATTTACCTTTGTCTTTATGATCCCGATTTTCATTCTCTGAATGTCTTTTCCCTGCAACTCTTAAGATTATAAATAAACTGTGTTTTGACCTTTTGAACATGCTTGAATAGCCAGAAAATCCTCTCATCATCTATCTGAATCCCTTGCATTCTTACCTTGTGGAAAAGCAGGAGAGGCAAATAAAAGTTAGGAGCTGAGATCTGTAGACATTTATCCAGTGCTTAATTTGTGCTACATGCCAGGCTAGATGCTGAGGATATAAAGATGTTTCAAGTCAAGTTCCTTGCCTGGTAGGAGCAAACAGCCTAAGGGCTGACAGTGTGATTGGATCCTGCTGCTGAGCAAACCTGCCTTTGACTACTCTGCCTTCTTATAAGCTTATAAATCTGCTCGAGTTAGACTTAGGTTCTTGCCAGTTTAAGAACAATGACCTCATAAGCCCATTAAACAGAGGAGGATGCTTTAGCAATATCTTTCAATTCGTTTAAAAAACTTCATTATGATTCAGCATGCTTTCAAGTGTTAATAAAAGCTTCCAGAGATATAGTTGTAACACATTTTATCAAATAATAACAGGATTTTAAATAAAGTCTGAAACTTTTTAAAATTTATGAATAAGAATTATGTTATCTTGCCACATTGTGTAAACAAAGCTACTTTTATTAATGTCGTGCAAAGAAAAACGATCAGCATTGCATCTTTCCATTAAAACTTGGATAGCATACAAAGAGGAGTGCTTATGATGTTTTCCTGTTTTCTTTCTTCCTCTTTGATTCAGTCCAAGTCTGCAGGTCTGAGGATCTGGCGAGCTGGTGACATAAGTCAGTCTGAGTCTAAAGGCCCGAGAGCCTGCAGGAGACCCGTGCTCCCCCTTCAGCAATCAGGCAGAGAGCAGACTCTTTCTTCTTCCACTTACTTCATTCTGTTCAGGCCCTCAGTGGGTTGGCTGATCCCACCTGTACTGGGGAGAGCACTTAGTTTGCTGATTCCAGTGCTCAACTCATCCAACAACACCCGTATAAGCATATCCAGAAATAATGTTTAATTTGGGTACCCTGGGGCCCAGTCAAATTGGTACATTAAATTAACCATCACAGCCTTTTTTTTTTTTTTATTGACTATATTCAGCACCATTCCTGGTACACAGTAGGTGCACATTAAATGCTTGAATAGATGTGGCTCTGGAATCGTACACTGCTGTACCTTTCTGAACTAGTTCAAATCACTTTCTTTCTGCTACGGAGACGGTCCAGTGCAGCGTTCTTCCCCCAGCAAGCCAGGCAGCATCGAGGAGGCAGACCTCAGGTGAGAGTCTCTGCCTGGGTCAGGAATCGCCAGTTAAAATTGCCCAGATCCCTTCCTTTGCTCATAGCATGAGGAGAGGTTCCTCAGAGGGACCCTTGGAAACAGACTGGCCAGGGGTTAGCAGGTCTGCTCCTCCTGCTCCGTGCTCGCTCGTAGGTCTGTGCTTGTTCGGCTGAATCTGAGGGACATCGCCTAGACTACGCTGAGCGCTCTGTCACTACCACCAGGTGACGTGAAACTGGAGTGTGTAGTGGTTAGAGGACGACAATTCTGAGAAACTGAGGTCTTCCGCTTATGAACTATGGCTCCGGGCCTGCTTAAGCCTCACAAGTGATAATAGCAATCAATCCCAGAACCAGCTAATGTTGTTCTGAGGATTTACTATGGCTAGATATAAACGGTAAAGATGAATTTCTCTTAGTCTTCGTAACAACTTTATTAGAGAATACTACAATATTATTTATAATTAGGACTTTACCGATGTGGAAAATGGCACCGGTGCTAGCCCACAGGCCCATGGATGGTGGACCCAGGATTTGAACTCAACATGTACTTCAGAGTGCCAGCTCTAAGTACCCAGTCACGTGCCTCACAGGGTTGTTGTGGTACTTAAGTTGGACGGGACATTTAAAGTTGTAGCCAGTGTTTACTAGATAGAAGCTCGGGAACAAATGTTTGTTATTCCCTTACAGATTCTCAGCCTGCTCAGACTTAATGACCCTTTTTTATAACCAATAATTTGTATTCTGTTTCTTAATGAAACTTGTTGGTAAAGTAACCTACATAAATGCATAATTAAAGAAATCAATATAATGCATAATTGCAATGTAAAGGAGAAATAAAAATACTTGCAGTAAAATAATTATCTTACTATAAATTATTCAGAATGTTAATGCTTGGGCGCGATTACACTAGAAGACAGTACGGTAGTCAGATGCTTATAGCTACTTATAGTGTATGTTTGGATTTAATAAAGATGAGAGCATTTTTATACCAGAAATATCTGACAACAAAAACGTAGAGGTATGGTGGGTGCTAGAATAAAAGCTAGTATTAGAACAAGTTATAACAGAGCAGCCTTATTTCTACTTGGTAAGTCTTACCATAGTTCCCATGTGAATGGCTGGAGAAGCGTTCAGAAATTGTATGGTGTCTATGCATGTATGTCTTTGTTGGGGGAACTGTTCTTTCCTTTGCATTCATTATATACGACGTCTGTCCAGAAGGTATTCAGTCATGTAACATGAAAGGTAGAGACATTTATTGAAGAAGATACAAGATACAAGAAACATATACATAGGGCAGTGATGCTACCTCAGTCCCCTTCAAAGTAGGCACCTTTGGCACCTCACACAGTTCTTCTAATTGCCATCAGCTGTCCCATGGTATTTTTGTGAATCTCATCAACAGTCTGAAATCTCTTCCCTTTCAAAGGTGACTTTAGTTTTGGGAAAAGCCAAAAGTTGCAGGGCGCCAAATCTGGGCTGTAGGGGGGCTGAGTCACTTGGGTGATTTGATGTTTTGACAAAAAAACTCTGCATGAGACGTGATGCATGAGTGGGTGTGTTGTCATCATGAAGCTGCCAATCACCAGTTGCCCAGAGCTGTGGCCTTCTGAATCATCTGAATAGTTTCCACAGAGGAATGTTCAAGCTCAAGCAAAATTTCATGCAGATTCATTGCTCTACTTGCTCAGTCATTTTGAATGTAACAGCCACACAGTACACATGCTCACTCAATGGTGTCTACCACCCCCACTGACTAGTACAGTGAAGTCATCATTGTTCTCACATGCATATTCCAGTCCACTCTCCTTGGTTGCCAGGTCACATTGATGTCATGCAAACTGTTCTCATTATATTAAAAATGGCTGGATTTTTTCTGGATGGACCTTGTACGTCTAGCATCCATGGAATCCATCTGCTAAATTACAGTAATGTCCTTTATCACTGTAGCAATAAAAAAAACCTACATAGGGGCATCTCTGCCTAGGAGGTGATGTTAGTACCTTTGAGACCACGCCATTAGAAAGTCGTTAAACATTTGTTGAGCAAAGAGTTGGTAGAAAAGTTCATAGACTTAGCACTTGACATGTTGGAGTTTATGGCCTCTTTTGCTAAGTATACACTGTATAATTACAAAGTAACATTGACTCCTACAGACATCACACAAGTTATTGTATACATTTTAGGGAAAGAGAATAAAAGGATGTGATCCATGAATAACTGCAGTGATATAGGAAGGCTTCCTAAAGTAAAAATTTAATTTTAATTGAAGTTGATGTAGGAGGCTGCTGGTAATGTATAGCAAGTCAGCTTGAAATATTTTATTAGAGATTGTCTTCATCAGTGCTTGACCTGTGGTAGCATGTCACATTTACGGCTCATAAAGTAAATGGATCACTTTTTAAGAGTAAGTGGGGTCAGACGCACAGATGGAGAGCAGGATGCCAGCAGGGGCCCAGGAGGCTCGGGGGTGGCGGGGTTGAGCAAAAAGGGAAAAGGACTCATGGACCTGGACAGCAGTGTGGAGGCTGCAGGGGGAGGCGGGTTTATAAGGGGACTAAATGGTGATGAAAAAATATACCATCAAGATTAACTTTAAAAAGATAAGAAACAGAGTAAGTAAACAATGAAAGTAAACCGTGTTCACTGGAGAGAAATTGAGAAATTCAGAAAATCATGAAAACAAAAAACTGTGACAAGTAATGTGAAAAATTTATTGATGTTTTCTTCCAGGATTTACTTTATGAATATTTATTTTTTCTGAATAATTGAGATTATAGCTGTATAATTTACTTTCTGTCTTTACTTTTATTTATATCCTTTTAAAATTTGCATTCTGCCTTGTGGTGCAAAATTCTCAGACGTTATATATGTGGCATTACTTTACTTGCTTTCCACCTAATGTTATTTATCTTTTCCTGTTGCACAGTATTCTTTTATAAGGTAATTCTCAGTGACTGTAATATTAATTACTTGAACAGATATAACATGCTTTAGGTTGTTTTTATATTTTTTTTAAAAAATATTTTATTTATTTATTTTTAGAGAGAGGAGAAGGGAAGGAGAAAGAGAGGGAGAGAAACATCATTCTCTCCATGTGTGGTTGCAGTCCATTTCTGGGGACCTGGCCTGCAACCCAGGCATGTGCCCTGACGGGGAATCGAACCAGCAATGCCTTGGCTGGCAGGCCCCCGCTCAATCCACTGAGCTATACCAGCCAGGGCTGTTTTTATATTCTTTATATTAATAAATTTTTGTTTGAAACTGAAACAGATACAGAGAAGAGATGGATGGTTGTTAGGGGTGGCAGTTGGGGGTCGGGGCAAAAGAGGTGAAGGGACTAATAAGGACAGATGGACAGTTATAAACTAGTCACAGGAATGTAAAGTACAGCATAAGAAATATAGTCAGTAGCATTGTAACAACTATGCGTGGTGCCAGGTGGATACAGGAAATATCAGGGGACACTTTGTAAAGTGGGTGATTGTCTAACGACTGTCCTGTACACCTGAAACTAATACAGGATAATATTGACTGCAATTGAAAAATAAAGAAAAGTGGAACTCTCTGTAATAATTTTCTGTCTGTAATAGTTTCCTTCAGATAGATCCCTAAACATGCAGTTCTGGACTGAAAACCGCATTCCTTTTTCAAGACTCTTGAAATGGGCTGTGAAGTCCTGTCCTCATAAGGCTGGACCAGTTCAGTTACCACAAATAGGCCTATTGGTATGCCTGGCAGATGGACGTTCTTTTGTTGAATGGCCAGTTTTATAAGCTAAAGGTAGCATCTCATTTTACTGATTGCTAGTGAAGGTCAGCATGTTTTGTATATTAATTGACCGTTTGTAACTGTTCTGTCCATTTGTCCTTTGTCCATTTTAAATTCGTGTTGCCTCTTTTTTAGTAATGATAGTAACTTGTGTCATATTATATTTTCTCCAGATTTTAAAACTTTAGTTGTTTGTGATATTTTTGACATTTAGAGGCTTTGAAGTTTTTTAAACGTGTAGGTCCTGTGTCTTTTCTTAAATCTGGTTTCTTCTTCATCTGTCTCATCCTTCAAATCCCAGTTCACATTTTACTTTTTCTAAGAAGGTTTTTCTTGAACACCCTAGCTTACAGTGGTAGGTATTAGATATGCTTATTGTCTACACTTCTGATTTAGTACATGATCTGTCTTTACTATATATATACCTACATATATATAATACATTTTCTGTTTATATGGTGCTCTAACAAGATTAAGATTGTAAGGTCTCTGAGAACAGACCTCATAGCATTTGTGTCTTCTATGGCATTGGCCTTGGGACAGCATATTGAATAAGTGCATTTGATCATAATAAAGAGACTTTTTTTTAGTGCTCACCACAAACATTGCCAGGAATCTTCCTTTGAATTATCTCAATGGGTCTTTATAGCAAGCAAAGTGAAGTAGATAGGAAAGGGGTTTTTATTCTCACATCTATGGATAGCTAATAGTTGTTTTCATTATAAGTGTGAAAAAAGGTAAGAGAGAGTAGTATAGTTCTTCTTTTTTTAACCGAATAAAAGAACAAACTACTCTATAGTTAGAAGTATGCCATAATGCTATGGTAATGCATTCATGAATATGAAATAAACTATGCATATTCATGCCTGTCTCTGAGAATTTGTTTTTGTTTCTTTTGCAGTGCCATACCAATTACATTCCCGTCTGTGCATCCAATGGAGACACGTATCAAAACGAGTGCTTTCTCAGAAGGGCTGCTTGTAAGCACCAGAAAGAGATAACGGTAGTAGCAAGAGGACCATGCTACTCTGGTATGTTGTCATGTTCTTCCGAATGAATGCTGGAAGTGGTTCTGCCACATTTTCTCAAAGGAAGTTTGCAGCCACAGGTGTACCCCCAGAAGTGCTGTTCGCACTGGTGGTGATTGTGTGGGGAGTAGGGGGCTCTTTCCCCGCCCCCATTTTGTGCTGTTTTTTAGCCCCAAGTGGTCTTCTATCAACTGTGTTACTTCTCAGCACACTTTTAATGCCCAGTGCCTTGTTTTGTGGGGACTTTGCATTTCTTTTGCCTGTGGTTTGACTATTGGAGTAGGATTTGAGATGGGAAATGATATGAGGCCCAGTTTTTTATTGTTATTTTTCGGTTGGTGGGAAGGAGTGGGGGGTACCCGTGGAAATCATTGCTGGTCCCCCAGGATGTGTCTCTTCCCCAGCTCTTTTCCTGTCTCCTTTCTGTCCGCCAACCCTTACCACCCACCTCCCCCTCATTGTTTATACTTACTTCTCCTTTTCTTCCTGAATTGGTAGTGAGTTTGGAAGGAATTAATATAAGTTTGTCATTTGCACTTGTATTTGAGGGCAGTGATGAACAAGAGGTATGACAATTAGAACCAGTGTAGGAAGGGTAGCAGGAAAGGTGGAGACTACTTTTCTGTGAAATGTTCATTTTCTTTCTTTCCCACATATTACAGGGCCTGTGTTTACAGTTTTTATTAGGGCTCCATTACCTAAGCATGATTGATCAGTTGTCCATGTGGTTGATCTCAGACTTCATGGTCATTAATACCACATGACTCAAAGCGCCCACATTAAGTTACGTGGTTGGTCTTTCACTCTAAGGCTGTTGAGTGTGGTTCGCCCCACTCTTAAGATCTGATGTGGTCAGCACCCTCCCTAAACAAGACGTTCCTATCAGATATGACATAGATGACCTCCCAGAAGCTGAGGACAAAGACCAGACCTTTCTTTGGGCAAGTCCAAATTCTTTTCCATGTGCTTAATAATTAGGCGGTCGGTGAAATTCTGTCCTCAGGCCGATTGATTGTCATTTGGTGTGGTTCTTACACACTTCCTTGTGTTTCATTGTGTACATCGTGTTTCAGAGACTTGATTGAGAGACTAAGAAGGAATGTGGAGTTCTTTGCAATCCCCAATTAACTGTGCATTACTTATGAGTGGTATGTGTTTATGACACCAGCTGCTTTGATAGGCAGTGAGGGTGGAATGGAAGATTGGAAAGAGCACCACACTACGCTTGAAAGACCTGTGTTTAAAGTGACTCTAGTTCTTATTTACTGCATGACCTTGGATAAGTCACTTAACCCTTCGGAGCCCCAAGTACCCAAATTGTTAAATGGGTATCATCTCCTGGGGTAGTTAAATGAAGATCGAATGAGCTCCGCTATAAGGTGGTAGCCCTGTCAATTTTGTTGTCTGCTGGGTGGGTCAGTGTGGGTCAGTGGTGCTCATGGCATTTGGTCTTTGATTGCTCCTATTCCCAGCATTAAAAATAACATTCTCTTTAGTTTACTTGAAAACTCCGAATGCTTTAAGCCTTTGCTCCTCCGTGAAAGCTTTCTCCCATGCCGTCTCCTGGCAGGGTTTGTTCATATTTTGTGCATATCTCTTTGTATGTAACTCACTTTATTTCATTTCCACCCAGATCAGTTTTTTCTCAACTGGAAGGCAGCATCCCTGCCTAGGGAGGCACATGGTCATCCCGGGGTTGGTGTGGAGTTATGTGGGCTGGGGAGGGTGTGGGTACAGTGAAAATACAGTTTCCAAGAAGAATTCCACCTTGCGATCAGAGTAGTCACACTGTACTAAGCAGTGGCTTGCTGCCCAGTACAATGGGGGGTGGGGCGGTCTGTGAAGCTTTGGTTCTTGATGTTACCGAAGATCAGAATTCTCTCCTGCACATGCGTTGGATGCATGACTTACAGTTCTGTTCTGTTGTTTCTGAAAAACAATTCAGTATCTGGTTAGAAACAGGGTAAGACCGGTTTGAGCTGGTTCTGCAATTATAATAATATATCATTTATTTGGTAATTTTAAATAACACTAAAGGGAGGTGTTAGGATTGTGTTTTGAAAAATTGGACATGGGTCGAAAAAAAATTGGTCATTGAGTAAGTATCTCATGCCTTAGGACTGTCTTAGTAATTCATCCCCAGCATTTGCCAGGTGGCCTAGTACATCTGTATGCAATCAGTGTGGGGCAGAAGGGACAGGGGGATGTTCTTCTAAAAAATTTTGGTCATAAAAGTAATTTTACATTGAGTTCCCCTCTTCATCCTCTTTTTTTCCTGCTTTCCCTCCTTCTTTTCCTCCTTCTTTAGAGAAAATGTAGTTTTTTTAATGACCGATTAATCAAAATTGAAGGCAATTTAAGACTTTTTATGAAACCCCATAAAGATTTTGCAGTGGGTACTACCCGAAATAATGCTCCAGTTCTTCCTGTCTCTGCCACAGCTGAAGTTGGGTTATTGCCTGGAGGAGCTGGAAGGCGAGGGAGCGGCACTGTCGGGGGTGTTGTCTCCCACTCCCGCGAACTGTGAGAAGCACTGGAGGGGCTTCCCCAGGGCGTCCCCCCACCAGAGTGCTGCCTGGAGTGTCGCGATCCTCACTCGCCACCTCTGCTGTTTCTCTGCTGTGTGCCGCAGAACCACTCTCTTCTCAGCGAGCCCCGTGCCATATGTTGGCTCTTTTGGGATTAGAGAATAAATATTTTACATTCGTTACATTTTAGGCTGGCTCCTTGCTGGAAGCTTTGAGGGAGGCTCTTTAATTTCACTAGTAACAAGTCTCCCACCTACCTCTTGGTGAGCTTCCTTCTGGTTAGGTTTTCCAAGTTAATTTCATCAGTAATATGAAAACCCTGCCCGTGAAGTTGTTTTTCCCTTCTACACCCTGGGGCTTTTCTTACCTTTTGGCTTTGGGTTTTTATGTACAGATTTTTTTTTAAAGATTTTTAGAGCAAGACCCAAAGCCCTTTCCCTCCCTTTCTAATAAAAACAGCTTGTTCATTATTTCTCTCGAGTGTAACAAAATTAAAATTTTCTTCCACCTTTTAAGAGAGTTAATTAACATATTTTTCTATTTAGCCATTTACTTCACAATATTTATTGGTCTTTGCTCTGTGCGAGGCACCTGGCTGTTTCCTGAATGGAGCTGCAAAAATGCACGAGGTATGGGAATTAGTGTGGCCAAGGAATTTATATTTAGAGAAAGGCACACGATAGGGTTATGAGAATAAACCAGTATATATTAAAAAAAACAACTTGGAAAAGGGCCACATGAGAATGGATATCCCAAGTTTGATTTTTCGATAAGAAACTTCCTGTCTGATAAGATGAAATTTCCAGGAAGAGTGTTCATCTTTACTCTGTTTTTTTTCCTCAGATAATGGCTCTGGCTCTGGAGAAGGCGGTAAGTTTCAAGTACCCTGTAAAGGGCATCCGTTTTCTTTCTCTTTTTACTGATCTAAAAGTCACAGACCATACAGTCTACCTGTGTGAAGTGTGCAGTTCCGTGGCCTTTAGTGCATTCAAAGAGTTGTATATTCATTACTACCAATTTTAGAGCATTTTCATTATCCCAGGAAGAAGCCCCACCCTTAGCCATCACTCCGACCCCCGTGTCCCCCTCAGCCTGGCATCTTTGGCTCATGAAGTTATTTTCACTAAAGGTTCGTTGTCAGATGAAGGGGAAATGCAGCTCCTGTTAGACTGAGGCCACACCGGAGTGCGCTCTCCGTAGGGTCGTCCCCACAAGCGACTGTAGCTCGTAAGGAACGTTCAGGGCACAGCACGAAAAAGTCTAGAGTGAGTCGCGCACTGCGCAGAGGGAAGATGTGCAGAGCGGCCCTGCTGGAATCTAGAGTTTACACTATTAACGTTTTCCTGTTTGTTTTAATTTCATTTTACAAATACATGAATTATTTCTGCGGTCTAAAACTAATACTTGGGAATAGCATGGAACAAAGTCCATTCTAAATTTTCAGAATTAAGAATGACTGCCTCCTGGTTTAATGAGGCTGTACATAATTTTTAATGAGTATCTATCGTATGCAAAATAATGCCCGAGGTACTGTGGGGCTACAGAAAGGGAAAACTTGCAGACAAATGAAAACTACGGTGGTGATACTGTCAACACTATTCGAAACCTTAGTCCAGGCTTCCACATTTCCTGGCATCCTAAAATTTCATATTAGGTAGGGATTTTATTTTTATTTATTTTTATTTTTTTGTTGTTATTCTGTTACAGTTGTCCCATTTTTTCCCCCTTTGCCCTCCTCCACCCAGCCCACTCCCCACTCCCACAGTCAGTCCCCGCACCGTGGTCCATGCCCATGGGCCATTTGTACATGTCCTTTGACTTTTCCCTTCCCCTTCTTTCCACCAGTATCCCGGTTCCCTCTCCTCTCTGGTCACTGTCAGTCTGTCCCCTGTTTCCATGTCTCTGGTTCTGTTTTGCTGGTTAGTTTATTTTGTTCATTGGACTCCTACATTTGGAAGGGATTTTAAAGGTCACCTAGGGACTGGAGGACATGTCCTGAGGAAGAAGTTCATGGATGACTGTTTCAGCTTAAAAAAAGGATTGAAGCTTGGTGCGTAGGTTAGAGGGCTAATTTGCCAGCACCAACACTTGTTTTCCCCACAGAATGTGTTGTACTCAGTATTGGCAACATTTTTTGGACTCAATCATTGATGTATTTTGGAAGTAATTGTTTTTCAAGAGCCGGGATACATTTTCCCCAGAAATAGAATAATCGCTGTTGGAAACATGAAGCATATCTGGGATGCATCCCAACTCTTGGTTGAAAATTTAATTTTTTCTCTCTAAACAGAAGAGGAAGGGTCAGGGGCAGAAGTTCACAGAAAGCACTCCAAGTGTGGGCCTTGCAAATATAAAGCCGAGTGTGATGAAGATGCAGAAAATGTTGGGTGAGTTGGTTGAGGTATTTTTATTGTTACATAAAGGTATCATTTAACCTGCTTCTGTATGTTTTATGTACGCCTTCTGTTTTTTGTTGTTGTTTACGGCTAGTGTACTGACTTCTCTCAAGTTGGTATAATGCTGTAGCTATTTAAGTCAATCTAAGTGTTATATTTTAGAACAAAAGTCTGTTTGTAATGTTTTTTGGTTTTTACCTCTGTTATTTTTTCACTGATAGTTTTATGTATTTTATACCAAAGCCTAATTTTATTCATCAGAAATACTCCTATTCTGATTTACCCTAGTATTAGACTTCCAATTAGTATCAATAATAAATAGTTTCGTCTTGAGTTTTCACATAAAAATTTACATATGTTTTCATGTATTAAACACTCCAGAACTGTTTCAAAAGTTAAGAGTATAGTAAGTAAATATTATATAAGTAAAATTTATTGATAGAAATCCCAGCCGCACAGGCTGACATTATATTGCTTTATTTTTCCTTGGTGAAGGTGGGTTTGTAGCTGGGCAGCATTGCTTGCTCAGTTTTCCATTTCACTCCCTGTAAGAAATGGTGTCGTTTGGTAGAATAGTAACAGTAGATCATCACACAGTCGTGTTTGTTTCTTCCTTTCATTAGGTTTCTGTTTATTTATTACCAGTCTCAACCTTTTTTCATTTCCCTTGGTGCTTGCCTTTTATGTGGTTGATTCTAAGAGCTTGACTGCAGGGGCCTAGTGAACAAATGGATCTTTACTTTGATTTACCTCTAGCGCATATTTGAAGATATTTATTTTATAGAGACTTATTCTTTCTTACACATATTTTCGCTGTGTATTTTCCAGCCCTGTGTTTTATTTAGGCTTCAGTGCCTATGTGAGCCTTTCACTTACTGACTAGTAGTAATACGCTTTAATTCGCATTAATGCCCACAGCGAGTTTTGCAAATTAGGATCACGCCATTTTCGTTCTTATATAATGTTCAAAATCAGGTATTTGGATGGCACTCTGTAAAAATTAATGTCTGGTAATTTTCTTAGTATGTATTTCCAAGTAGGAGAGAATTGGCAAAAGACCAGCAAGCTCAGTAGAAAGTGAATTCAGCCAAGCCCAAATTTGCTCTGTTTCTGCGTGTTGGTCACATGGATTGACATGTGTCTGTCCCTTTCAGGCGGAGTGGTTTGGTTTGGAAAAACATGTGTTCCAAAGTAGGTATTAGTCTGTAGGAGAAGGGAGAAATAAATAATAAGGACTTGCAGAGAGAACAGATAATAGGTGTTGCACGCTCTTCTTACTTTCTCACTTTGTCCTAATAATACGGTGTGATGAAACACCATTTTGTGTGTGTGTGTTGGTAGAGACTTAGTTCTTGTCAATGTGTTTTCCCAGGTCTGTTTTATAATAGTGTTCAGAGTCAAAATAGTTGTCCGTGATTGATTGGCTAGGTCTATTGATCTGTTTTTATGCCTTTGACAGCATCTCTACTCAGCCCTATTTTACACATCTTTCTGCTCTCATTTTTCATCCCTAAACTGAAAGAGATCATGGGCTTAGAAATAGAATACATTCTATCTAGTCTCAGAGGTGGCCCCAGAGGTGACATCTACATGGTGAATGAAACACAGATCTGTCTGTGAACACTTCCTCATGATATAACAGGTAGTCTGTGCCCAATCAGGGCAGCTCTGTTGCATGTACTAAATTAATTTTGCATGTACCTGTGTATTGAGAGCTTGCAATCACCGTTTCTGCAGATACAGGTTCTAAGCAAAAGGAAGTGGGCACAGACCAGGGGATGGCTTACCAATAATAGGGAACGTGCAGACGAAGGAGCACAGACACTGGGATAGGCAGCCAAGCCCAGGCCAGGAAATTGATGCCGCCATGAACATTAAGAAACAACTGGTGCCTTTACCTGGACGATAAATGATGAAGCTAAAGTGGTGGTTCCTCCTACGGAAGGAGACCAAAGGAAATTTTAGGAACATCTAATCTTTCAGTCTATAAAACATTTATTATTGATTGCAATTTAAATGTATTCATTGCAATTTAAATTGATTGCAATTGCTAGTTGGGTTTAGCAATTTAAGTGTATCTCTGTGGTTATTGTAATAAAAAAAACTTTTAAATGAGCCATGGTACCAAGAAAGCTATATCAAGGTTATATAAATACTTCAAGGCATCTTCTAGGTGCTTTTCATGGTTGCCACCAGGTGACAGTAACATCTGTCTAAGGTAGTTGTGACCCAGCCGTCTAGACCTGTTCGGTAGAGAAAACTGGGAGATGCTGAAGTACGGCATTGGTCATTAAGCCTTGATTTTTATGGAAAAACCTGCCATTTATTAAAAAGTTGTTTTATTATTTTTTATTAAAAGATACAATTTTAGTTATTAAATACAAAAGGTCTTAGTTACAAACCAAGTCCTCACAGCATGACTTAATTATTACAAATTCTACTAGAACCAGAGAATGTTAAGCTTAACTAGAATCTTAAAATGTATCTTCTAATCTAAGCTGTTCACTTTACAAATGAAAGAAATTATCAAGGACTGAAGTCAGAGGGTTTTGTGGGATGGATTCTCCTAAGTTCTAGAATAGTATTTATTTTTTAGTTTTTACATCTGCCTGCCTGTATTTGTCGGTTTCATTCCTAGAGGGACTGCTGTGACCTTCTTCCCACTGTGTGGACTGCCGCTTGATGCCTCTTTAAAAAGCAGCGCCCTCTTCTTCAGCCTGGTCCCAGCTCTGAGTTCTTGACTTCCTTATCATCTCCTTGTTCCTCTGAATACTGGCAGCTTTAAAATTTTTTGTGTCGATATTACCTAGACCACCAGCCACATGCCAATTTTTCAGTTTTCTAATCAGTGACTTTCAGATGCTTTTGGCTACGAGTCCATGTAAGAAATACGTTTACGCTGTGACCCAGCACTCATGTACATATATGGGGGGGGCCTCAAACTCCCCAGAATTTATTTATAAAAATTTGTGTATTTATTCCTGTTTAAACTTGAGTAACCTTCGAAGTACACTCCATTTGATGAAATGCACCTGTTGAGATGTTTTTTCCACACTGCTCAAAACAGCTTTTGAACTTGTCAGTATTGATGCCTTTTAGTGCTTGTACCGTTTTTTGTTTGGCCTTTTCCACATTGGCAAAACGTTTCCCCTTGAGGACTTTTTTCTTCTGGGAAAACCAAAAGAAGTTGCTTGGGGCAAGATCGGATGAATAGGCAGGGGTGGCAGGAGGGTTATGCTGTTTTTGGTCAAAGACTGCCGGACATTCAGCGCAAAGTGGGAAGGTGTTCCGTAAACCACCCATCATGAAATGGGCAAATGTGTTGAATGCGTCTTCTAAAAAAATTCTCTGAAGCCAAATGCAGCCTCTCACAACAACACCAGCTGGAACACTGATACAGATGTTTTCCTAGAACACTCACCTAGTGGGGGAAGCCTGTACTACACGGGTCCTGCCCTCCAGAAGATAATCCTGTTTCTTTTTAGGTCCCCTCTCATACACATGGTAATAATACATAAAAAGTAAAGCAAAATTTTTGTGAAGTATTAAATTCAGTGTTCTATAATATTTTCTATCCTGTTTTCTTAAATATAGCTGGTAGTGAGTGATTCACTAAATTGACTTCATAATCCACTAGCGATGATGACTTATAGCTTGAAAAATATTGCTCTATAGTATCGCTATAATAGATAGGGTATTTCATGTCACACTTTTAGTATGGGTTTAAATTTTAAAGTATTTTATATATTCTCATTTTGAAATGTCTTTCCTGTCAGGAGAGATGTTATATAACCTATGTAGTTTCCCAAGGACAGCTGAACTCTTTCTCTTGCTTTAAAAAGCTTTTTCTCTTTATCTTGATAATAGTGTTAAAATGCCTGGCATTTGAGGGGAGGGAATAAGTGGTACCTACTGTAGGTCGATTTTCCGGCTAGTAAGAGAAGTGCCAATTTTTATTTAGCCATTCAAATGGAAATTGATTTAGACATATTGTTTTCTTAAATAGAGTACACAGAACATATTTTAACAATATCAGTGCTACAGTTTTTAGACATTGTTAACATGCATTATTTTTAGCTCTTTATAGTGGGTGGAAGTATTATCCTGATTTTACAGGTGAAGCCGAGGTCAGAAGAGGCTGAATGGCTTGCAGTTAGGCAGTGGGACCAGAACAAGGGGTTTATTCCCTCTCGTGCCCACGTGCGTACACCATGCTGTTCTCTGGGGCCACTGGTGTTCTCAGTGGCCTTTGTTTCACCCTTCTGCTTAAGGATCCATTCTGCTTTGTGTTTTGGGTTCTTTATATCATTTTTTAAAAATATTTTTTCTTCACCCAGAGCCGCTGCCTCTGGGTGCTGTTGCTGTGCCTTGTCTGTGAGCCTGACTGCATGGCCCCACCTTTGAACTTGCTTCTCTGCTTCCCTGGCATAGGAAACAAAGTGCCCATAGGAACTGTAGCTAATGTGAGAATAAATTCTAAATGTAACATCAGAGTACATAGGTTCAGGGGTGAAATTGCACGGACCTCATTAATAAGCATGTATTTTTATCTCTCTTGTCTGCTCAGTGGCTGTTTTAAATTTTTGTAACTTGAATTATTTTTGTTTCTCAGAGGCTTTTCCCCTTTCTGCCCGAAGCACTGTCTGTCCAGTGGCATTATGGGCTTTGCATGGGTTTCTGATGGCTGTCCTCATTAACGCTCCTCTTATGAATTACATGTCGGGCGAGGTGATTGAGGTTCCCAGAAATTCATCTCCTCTGTGGGTGAGGTTTCAGTATCCCATTGTGACCTTTGTGAAATGCAGCAGGTAGACTTTCTGCTTGGTCTTAAAAGTGGGAAACAGTACCTGTTTTACACGAGGTTATATTTCTAACCTGAAGTTACTGCTGCAAGAGAACCGTCCAGCATGTGCCTGGACCATGGACCAGATAATCATAGAACTCCTTCACACTGGTATCTTTTAAATACCCCGTTCACGAATGGCTTGAGC